CAAAAGTCCACAGCTCAGCCTACCTTTCTCTTCACCTTCTCCGTTTGTTCCCCAGCCATCTTGCACAGCCCGTGCAGTCCCTGGCTAGCCGGGTGATTTTTAGGTTAATTCTTAGGTCCTACCAAAAAGGCATATACTCTTAATGACCATTTTGCACATGAGGAAACAGAATTGAGACTTAAGTAATAGTTCCACAGAGCTAATAAGTGCTGAACAAAATCTAGAAGCCAGGCTTCCTGGTTTCAAGTTAAAGGTCCTTCCATTAGACCCTAATGTACCATAATTTATGGCTAACAACATGAGAAAGATTACCCTCTCTAAAATATTACCTCTGCCCTTCACAGAAAACTGTATCTTTGGATGACAATAATCACAAGACTGTCACCAGTAAGTGACCTCTATTTTAAACTGTACAAATGAATTAATCTCACTGGTTTTCTATTCTTATTCAGCCCATAGCTATATGAGGTTTAGAGTAGCTATCTAAGACATAGAAGTGTGAAGGACTAAATCTGGAAAGATCTTACATGAAAATGACCTGAGAAAAAGTAATAGACTGTGAATTACAAGGGGAATAGCAAGTCAAGAGCTAGTGCTCAGATAGAAATTCCTGCTAAAGAGACCGATATGTGGGACAGAAAATTCGTAAGGACTAGCCATCCAGCCTATAAACACTGCATGAATTTAAGACAGTTTTAGGTCTGAAAAGCCTGAATCAAAAGGCCAATCAACATGTTGGTTAAGTCTATATAATACCTTTGACATGATCAAAGTAGACCTTTTCATTTGGCTATGATTCTTCATTTTACATTTTTTGTTTGTTTGTTTTCAATAAAATAGCCAGAAATAAAATGTGGCATTCCACTGAATTGGGAGGTCTTCAGAGAACCCACAGCTTATAAGTAAGTGAGTCATTAAACACATTTAGCATTGACGGCATGAAAATAATTGGAAACTAGCCTCTCAGCCCTTGGAAATGTTCTGCATGTAGGGAGTTATTTTAAAACCAAATTAAATCTCGGCATGGAATTCTAATGCTATCGTTTAAATAAATCTAATAAGTGCAGATTGATTTACAAAAGCTGTTTTCAAAGTATTTAATGCATTGGTGACATTTTATAGAAAAGCAAATTACAGGAATCTGCTTTTAAAAGTGTGATTGCATCTAGATTGGCAGAAAAAAATCAATACAAATTAGCCAAAGTGTTGTATCTACTCAATTCAAAAGTTGGAATGTTTCATAATACCTTTTTTTTCCCTCATATCTGACCAATTTTGTTTGAGGAAAAATAAAACAACTTATAGTTTTAAATTCAGATAAATAACAGTTTCTAAAGATTGTTATTCAACTATTATCTTGAATTTACTTATTTCTGAGGAGCTGAAGCACATTTAATTTCATTTCTTAAAAAAATATAAAAACGAGAGCAGAAAAAATTAGACAGAAGAACCTGAAATACCAGGCTCAAGTTCTGCCTGGTTTTTCCTTGTCTCTTTCTTTAACTTATTTCATCTGTATGTTTGAGTGTTTCAAAATGTACAACTTGAACTGGAAAAACGAAAGGGGGAGAGTCTACTGATAGAAAAATAGAAGACTTTAGAAGTCTTCTTGTTGTTGTTTTGTGCCATTGAGTTGTCTCCGACTCATAGCAACCCCTCCTTGGGTTTCTCTATGGAAGTAGATTGCCGAATCTTCTTTCTGAGGAGATTTTTAGAAGAATATACAAATGCTCATAGAAGAGAAAGAAGGGATAATTAATTTAGAAAAATTTAAAATAATTGGCTGTTCATTAGGATGTATGGAATTCAGCACAACAAGGTAGGTCCTTTTCCAAAGGCAAAAATCATGTGACTTACTTAACAGGAGGTAACTTCCAGAACCTGGGGAAACTTAACAGCTATCTTAATCCTCTTAGCAATGCAGGGAACAGATTTCTGTTAGATTTCTGTTAGGATATTGTGGGCATTGTTCATGTTAGCAAAAATGCCTGAGTTGCATAACAGTGTTTTTCCACTCATACATTTTGTTTAGTTTATATGCGAGCACAAAGTGTTCTGCCCTAAGGAGCTTACAAATCAGTGGGAAAGGAGACAGATCCTGCAGTTTTCTTTAACCTTGAAGTATGTTTGGGATACTCTTTGCCTGCCATCTCTATTTGTCTTTGTCTATATGTGTTTTTCTGTGTTGACTCTATTCCCTTTCCCCACCTCTTTCTGAGTCAGTTTCTATGTCTCACACTTTGTGCTTCTGTGGTTGCTGCTGTCACACTGTGCCTGCCATAGGCATCCCAATTTCAGAATGGAAAGTGACTGCTCTCAAAAGAAGTGCTGGCCATCATCCTGAGAGGTTAACAGTTGAGCTATCATCACATTCTGTAGTCATTCTTCAAACGTGTTGATGTCATACCCTATGCCAGTGATTTAGTTGTTAACCCAATGTTTGTGATCTCCCTGTGTTTATCATTGGTTCATATGCAAGAGGGGGAACAGGTGAAAAAGAGTGCTGGATGGAAACAAGGATCTTCTGCCAAATGGGGAAATATGGGAAGACAGGGTCCAAACAGGTATCCTGGATATGTGCCATTGGTGTGTCAGTGATGGGAATGGCTAGGACTGGCTCAGGAGCTTCATTTAAGTGCCTGCTTGTTACCATGCTTTATCATAGACATTTGATATTTGCTTAGAAAGTCGATGAACTTAGGCAATACTGACTAACCTCACATAAGGTATGGAAATCTCATCATAAAATCATGTGGTAAAATAAGAATAAAGATTGTTCAGTATTGTTCTGGTTACCTAGTGCCGCTCTGACAGGAATATACCACAAATGGGATGGCTTGAAAAAACAGGAGTTTATTCTCTCACAGTTTGGAGGCTTTAAGTCCGAGTTCAAAGTGCCAGGCTCTAGGGGCTGTGTGAAAGCCCCTTGACCTTGGGTTTCAGCTTTGCCTTTTCCTCCTGGCCCACTGAAGCTAGAAGCATCTTTTCACTCAGGCAGCTACTGGCTGCTGAGGCTAACAAGCCCAAGGTCAACAAATAAAATGGCACAGCCCCAATGTTACCAAACCACACGGCAGACCATTAACTCAAGTCCATTGTAAGTCTCAAGGTCAGCAGAGCATGGCAGGCTGCTGAACAATGAAATGGCTACATGCAGAGTCCAAGCATGCCATAAACGAGAGACTATCCTCAAGGCTTCTCCTTTTATATAGAAAATAGACTGTATCCCAAAGGCAGCCACTTAGCTGCTTGTAGTAGATCCCACCATCCCACTGATTGCCAATCTCATCATGGGGAATAACTACCACCAGCTGCCAAGCCATTCAACCAGGCTCAGCCAAGTTGACATACAAATTTAACTACCACAAGTATCAAGTGATAGAAAGAAGTGATGTACAATTTTGCACAGGAAAACAAACAAAAACCCTATAAGCGCTCATAGCAACTGCTCCTTGGGGTTCTGAGGCAGTATCACTACAGAAATAGATTCCCCAGTCTTCCTTCCAAGGAGTGGCTGGTGGGTTTGAACCACCAGCCTTCTGGTTAGCAGTCAAATGCCTTAAGCACTATGCCACCAGAGCTCCTTTGATTAGCTATATCAATAAAACTATTGGTTGCCTAGAATCCCCCAGATTTATTATTTCTATTGAGCTTCCCTGCAAATTTTTCTTTTAACTATTCTGAGTGGAAATTGTTCTAAAATGCATTTCATACTTTTCTGCCTCCTCAAAGGACCAGTAAACCATTTTTCTTGATATATTAGAGTCATTATTATGAATATCATTTGTTGCACATTATGTCATACCATGAGGCACCCATGCCCTATTGAAGTTGCTGGGGCTGCATTTCTGAATGTTAAAAACCCTGAAGTATGTGCTTTTATAGTTGCATTTGCTTTTTATTATTTTTTCTATTTTTTCCTGTTCTGACAAACTCACATTTCCCTGCATTCTGATTTTTATAATACTAATAATCTTTCAACCTATTTTTAATCTGCCATTTCCAACCAGGATTTGGCTTATACTCAAGTAATCAAACCTATTGCCAAATCAAAACCAAACCAGTTGCAATCTAGTCAATTCTGACTCATGCTAATTTCATGTGATTTAAGGTATAACTGTGCTCCATAGAGTTTTTAATGGCTATTAGACCACTACTTAAAGTAATAGTAAATAGATCCTGAGGTTTAGAGCATCAAATTGATAAAAATTCCTTTGACTAATCTCACATCCATTGTACTGGCTTCTCCTTGGCACTTGGTAACAGTAGTTAAGACTTTCTGAGGGTTAATGGTGTTCTTGACATTGTTCTGGGTATATAACATATATTAACACATTCAATCATCACTGTATAACAGAACCTACTGTTATTATAGTAGCAGTCATGATGAATGCACCATTCTGATCTAGGGAGAGGGGAAACATAATTGACCAGGGCCCCAACTGCTTCCCTTTGAAAACCATCACTGTGTTTGTGATGAATCTATGCTGCCCAGCCTTATCTTCCCACCAGTGACTGAATGCATCAGAAATACTAAGATGGACCCATTACTAAGAGATAGAGGACTCCTTTGTCAGACAGTGTTGGCTGAAGGATTCCTTGGCTACTTTGCTAAAAGTCTAGGACACTTTACCCAACATTCCCTCTTTCTTCACATGGATTAGACTTGTTTCCTCATCTTCTGACAGCTTATTCAACTTTCCTGATGCCTTTTCTATTTTCCTTGGCACAAACATTTCTCCAAATAAATGTTTGCACTTGGGATTAATAAGAGTTACAGAAAAAAATCACCTACGAAAGACCCATGCAAAAAGATCAACCTACAACACACAGTCAGAAATTTTCTAAAATCAGGAATAAAAAGAAGATTCTAAAATCTTCAAGAAAGAAAAAAAAAAAAGTCAATATGCCAATAAATAGAAATCAGAATAGTACTGAGTTTCTTAATAGCTACACTGGAAGCTAGAAGTAATTGGAGGAATGCCTCCAAAATTCAGAGGGAAAAAATACCAAGCCAAATTAAATGGGAGGAGAAAATAAAGATATTCAGGGACTAAAACAATTTACCCCACACTGATATTTTTAGGAAGCTATAGGAGCAGGCATTCCAGAAAAAACAAGGAAGTACACCAACTAAGAGGCTAAGAGTAAATCCATTGCAGGAAAATAGATCAGGGAGCTGCCAGACACTTGGGAAAGCAACGACCAGCTCAACAGCTAAGCAGAAAGACTCATGCAGCTGATAATCTGTATTGAAAAAGAAGGGAGTTCTGAGAGGAAAATCTTTTAAAAAAGGACTTTGATAGATGATCACTACATTTGACCATTTGGAAAATAAAACTAATGGATATTTAATCAAACTGTTGGAGCATTTAAAAAGAATCAAACAAGGCTTAATACAAGGAAATTATTTAAATTTAAAATGAGATAATTTTTTTAAAAAATTTTACATATAGACCAAAATAGAGAGTAGGCTAATGTACTCTCATATGCCCATCACCCACCTTCAACAATTTTCAAAATGATACAACTTTTGTTTCATCTGTTCTCCTACATTTTTTCTGGTTAAGAAAATAAATGATAATTTAAAAAAAAAAAGTCAGACATTATGTCATTTCTCCTGCAAATACTGCATTATTCATCAATAACCAAAAAGGTTATTTGTTAAATGTAACTTCTATGCCATTTCCGTACCTAATAAAAGTAACAATGATTCCTAATGTCATCTAATACTCAGT